TCCTGCCGCAGTTCGAGTCCCAGACCTGGTGGCTTGCTTTCTGACTTTCCTTCTCTCTGTGTCTGTCTTTCTCTGGTTGAAATGAAATAATAAATGAATAAATAAATAAAATTTAAAAATAATTATTTAAAAACCTTTAAAAATTAAAATTAAAAAATGAATAAACTTTAAAGCAGGAGTCTTGGGGCTGGCAGATGGTCTAGTGGTTAAGGCTCTGGACTCCCACGTGGCCAGCTGTGGTTTTAGCCCTGGGTCTGGCAACTTGCTTTCTCACTTTTTCTTTCCCTCTGTTTCTCTCTGGTCAAATTAAAAATAATAATAATAATGATTATGAATACAATTAAGTAATATAACTTTTTTTTTAGAGAGACACTTTTGCTATAAGGTGCGTGCAGTCACTAGAGAGACAGAGAGACAGAAAGCAAGAAATCACCCCCCCAGGGGGTATGCCACACTGCAATCCCTTCTCCTCCATTCTCCTGTCAGGATTTAGGGCATCCATGCACACATGCCCGGTGTGAGTTTCAAGCTGCTGGGCCCGGGACTCAAACCGTTGAACCATGGTCTGCCATGTGGGAGTCCAGCAATGGACTTACACCATCTGCTGATCTGCAACTTTTTTTTCTAAGAAATTTTTGCCGTAGGTGTGTGCGCTCACCAGAGTGAAAAGGAGAGTAAGAAATCATCCCCCAGTGGGGGATGGCCACACCCAAGTCCCTTCTCTTACATTCTCTTCCTGGGATCTTGGGCACGCATACACACATGCCTGGTGTGATTTTTAAGCTACCAGGTCCAGGACTTGAACCACAGTCAGCCGTGTGGGAGTCCAGCAATGTAACCACTATTCCATCTGCTGGCCCCAAGTTAAATAACTTTATAAAAAGAGGAATCTTGGGGGACCAGCAGTTAGCATAATGGCTATGTTGCTGGACTCCCACGTAGTCAACCGCGGTTCAAGTCCTGGACCCGGTGGCTTAAACTCACGGCAGGCGCGTGTGCGTGCGTGCCCAAGATCCCGAGAGGAGAACGGAGGAGAAGGGATTGTGGCGTGGCCATTCCCCCCTGGGGGGTGATTTCTCGCTTTCTGTCTCTATGTCTCTCTCTGTCTGTCTGGCGAGTGCACACACCCTATAGCAAAAACCTCTCCAAAAAAAAAAAAGAAAAAGAGGAATCTTGGTTTATGCTTCAGCTCTAAATCCTCCCAATTTGGAAACTCTTCAGTGACTCTAGAAAAAGGTTTGTGTCCATTCGTGGCCTGTCCGTTTCGCTGGTCTGTAAACAAGCTGCCCAGGGAGGAGATGCCCTAGAATGCCAAAAGGGCCAGGAAGCGACCTCAGGTTAGGGTGGCTTCAGCATCACACCCACCTAGCCCGAGTCTCGGCTCCGGCACCTCCTGGTTGTGTGTAGACAACTTTTTAAATGTACCTAAGCCCGTGTCTTTGCTAAAGATGGGCAAACTGTGTCTGCCTCACCGGGGAATTGTGGTGATGGAAGAGACAATGAACTTGGAGCCCTTGGCTCGTCGACCTAGGCACCACACCGCAGGACTCAGCGAACAGCAGCTGGGCTGGTGTGGGCCTGCTTCCCCCACGAGTAAACGTATACTTAGCAAGAGGCATGAAGCACGCCGGGGTTCAGTCAGGCTGCTCTGGGACCAGTCGGCCCTGAAGATTTCTCCCCACCACTGTGTAAGAGCTTTGAGCCAAAACAAGGGGAAATGAAAGGCATCTCCTTGCAAGAAGCGGGGAATGGATGTTTAGATGGACTCCTTCATGATTCTTCTCTTCAATCTACTAAGTGAAGGCTTAGGGTAAGAGAGGCAATGATATAATGGCTTCTATATGGGCCAGCAGGTGGTGTGGTGGTTATGGCCCTAGATTCCCACATAACCGACTGCGGTTTGACTCCTGGACCCAGCGGCTTGAAAATCACTCTGGGCACATGTGCGGGTGTGCCCAAAATCCCAGGAGGAGAAAGGAGAGAAGGAATTGCTGCGTGGCCACCTCCCTTAGGGGACGATTTCTCTCTTTCTCACTCTCTCTCTCTGTTTCTCTCCCACAAGCATATGCACCCTGTGACAAAAACCTTAAGAGAAAAAAAAAGCGTAGTTCTTATCAGCTGTGCACATGCATTAACCTTTGACCCCATTTTTCCTAGGAAAAGGGATATTACATGAGTAGGGAGGGGAAGGCCCCAGTATGTAAGAAAAGGTGTATATCGGTAAGTGGCCCCCGCCTGGCCTGTTCCATGGTGAACTGATGGGGCCATGGAGAGGTGTCCAGGGTATGCTGGGGCCCTGTCAGTGTCTCTGATGGTGCTGGGCAGTCCCTCGCCCTCTTGCCTTCTCTCCAGAGGCCTCCCTGGGAACCAGCTCACCACCCCATACCAAATACCTGAGGAAACGGAGAAGCCCAGAGCCTGAGCTGGCATGCAGGTGTGTGACCCACCTCCCAGCACAGAGGGAGATGCAGGCAGGACTTCCTTCACTGAGAAAGGGCAGCGGTATCTCCACCCC